TAGATGTGTATAAGAGACAGCTTGGAGACTATCTGCAGGGGTAGCACTGATTCACTGGAAGGCATATTGATGAGTTGGCAAGATATTGGTGTTGCACTGATGAGCGCTGGACTCAGGGAATCTTTGAAACACTTTGTATCCATATTTTTGATAATATAAGCTGTGAAACTCGGTTCTCATCTTCTCTACCTATTATCAGACTACTGTTCGTTGTGTGTGGGAGAACGATGCATGGCATGTACACACTTGCGTGAGATGGTCTCCAGGACCCATGCACTCTCCTGTTCACCTCCTGAATCTCACATCTGGAATATATTTTCTCCTTAATTCTTAATCAATTTGGCATCTCCATTTTGCAGATGATTATGGTAACACCATGCCAACTGGGTGGTAATTGCAAAAGGAATTGCAATTGCAATCACTATGCGATCCATCAGAGTTCCCCATAAATTCCATAATGCACCATCATCTTCAGGTTCTTCTTTTTTCGTTTTTCGAACTTTTTCCTGATCTTTTGTCTGACAATGGATGAGCTTTGCCGGTACTTGGCAGGAGTCGAAACGATCACCCGACAGGAAGTGACGAGAAACCAGCATTGAGATTGAATGGGGGAAAGCGTGGAAAGGATAATGAACCTGGTCGTGCTACTGCCGTTCTTGCGGCAGTCCAGAGGCAGATTGATGGAGATCCAAACAGTGCAAGAACTGATCCACTTGGGGGTGCTCACGATTCCCAATCTGCTCTGGAAACATCAAGATCAGCTCCAGCTCAAGAATCGCATTCACTTGTCTTGGATGGCGGCGCTAGAAGGACACGAAAAACTTCAAAAGCACGTCCATTTCCAACCTGTCAGAATGCTGCTTCATTCAACGATGATGGTGCTGGCTCAGCAAGAGGGGCGCGAAGTGATCCACATGGCGACCCTCGTCATCGCCCTCTGCTGCATGATGGTCCTCTCGCAGAAATGCCGGAAGGCCCAAGAACAGATCCACGTGGAACATCTCAAAAGATTCCATACCCCCTTTCCATGGACCATGATCCTACTGGAACAGTGGAAGGTTCACAAGGAAGTCCACCTGGGACTGTTCTTCCTTCCCCAATTGCAGATGCTATCGCGATGGAAATAGTGAACGATTTGCTGACCAGTCTAGCTGGAGATGTTCGATCTTCTCCTTCAGTTGACGATGATTCTGGAGTACCAAAAGATTCAAGGGAGGATCCACCGCTTGAGACCACTCATGATCCCATTGCATTGCACCATGGTCCAGCTGGAACAGCAGAAGGTCCACAAAGAGATCCAAGCAGTTCTCTTCATGGTCGACCCTTGCCCGTTGATGGTGAAGTGTCACAAGGTTTCGAAGCAGAACGACCACAAACAGTTCAGAATCCTCCTGCCGATGATGATACTGGTAGCACACTACAAGGTCTTATGGATGATGCAGCTGGGGCCACTCATGACTCCATTTCATTGGACGATGTTCCTGCTGGAACAGCAGAAGGTGCGAAGAGCGATCCACCTGCATTCTTACAAGATTCCCCACCAGGTCCAATTTCGGAACCGGGTCCACTCAGTGGTGTTCACGACTCCCCTTCACTGGCCCAAGATTCTTTGGTGGTTCCAGAAGGTCCAGAAAGAGACCGACTTGCCCCCTCTGCTAAGCCAGTTCATGCTCAAGACGATAAGGTAGTGCCCTCCGAGGGGGGAATCTCTGATGCCAAGCCTGCTGGTGTGAAAGGTACGTCGAGAGGCTCAGGGAGGACCTCCAACACCAAGCCTGCTGATGTGAAAGGCACGCCCAGAGGGTTTCATGCTGGTGTTAGAGTTAGAGTTTACCCTAGTCCCAGACCTCAAGACTCTCCTTCACTGATCCAGGGTTCTTTGGTGGTTCCAGAAGGTTCAGAAAGAGACTCACGTGCAGCCAGCAATGTTTTGTCTTCACAGAATCCGGAACATGCCCCCTCTGCTAAGCCAGATCATGCTCAAGACGATAAGTTAGTACCCTCCGAAAGGGGGATCTCTAATGCTAAGCCTGCTGATATGAAAGTTACGCCGAGAGGCTCAGGCAGGACCTCTGATTCCAAGCCTGCTGATGTGAAAAGCACAACCACGTCGCCGAGAGGGTTTCATGCGGGTGTTAGGGTGTATCCTAGTCCCAGAGTTCAAACCTCAAGCCCGGCGGCGCTCTACTCTCCAGTAAAACTCTTGGAATTAATTTCTGTTGAATCTAGTCAGGGTCAAGGACAGGGGGTTGAGCAGTCTAAATCTGATGTGGCTGGAAAACAGGAAATGACAGAAGATGGGACAGCAATGTTGTCGCCGAGGGGTCTCAGCACTTCAAGAAGTGAAGCTGGTGCTGGAGAGCAGGAAAAGGCAGTGCCTGGAGGTGAGGTCGGAGAGAGTGAGAAGGAAAAAAAAACCGACATAGATGTGATGAACGACGATGTGTCAGCCACAGAATTGGATGCTTTGGTGGGAGAGGTCAGTGCCTTAGAATCTGCAGATGCAGCTGGCGAGGATGATGCTGTGTCAGCTAGAGAATTGGATGTTTTGGTGGAAGAGGTTAGTGCCTTAGACTCTGGAGCGGGAGATGAAGGGAAGGAAAAGGGTGATGCTGGTATGAAGAATGGTGCATCGGCAGGAGACATCAGGAAGCAAGGAAAGGGGGTTCGTCAAGCACGAGGACCCACCGCCAAAACCAAGAAGCCAAGGATTGCCAAGAAGAAAGAGGGCCAGGAGGAGAGGGCAGTCGGGATGACAAAAGGTGAGCTGCGAAAGGACACGGTGGAGGGAGTAGAGAAGGAGGCTACTGAGGGGGCAGGCTATGTCAGCTCCACAGGGTCACCAGTGGGCAGAGCCAAAAAGAGAAGAATGACCAAGCAGAAGAAGGAAGAGTGGGAGACACCAAGAATGGCAAAGGATGATGGATCGACTGCAGCAATGGGAGTTGTGCAGGGAATGCCAAAGGTGGTAAAACAAGTTCCAGACGAAGCGGTGAGTGCTAATCCTAGTGAGCCCCTAACATCGAGAACAAGGACCAAAAAGAAAAAGAAGAAGGAAGGGGAGGAGGGAGCACGGGCCGTCAAGGATGATGGGGCAACAACAGAGATGACAGTCGAAGAGATCGCAGAGGAGGTGCAGGAGACGTTAGGAGATCTCGACTCCATGGGAACATCAGTCGGTATTCCAACTAAGAAAAGACGGAAGGTAAAGAAGAAAAGCGAAGAGGGAGATGGGGGGAGTACGGCGAGGGACAGTGGATGGGTCACGCAAGCACAAACCGAACGGAACAGGGGGCGTGGAAAGGAGGTTCATCAAGGAGAAGGCTATGTTGAGTCCAGAGGCACATCAGTTGCAAAGACAAGGAAGAGGAGGAAGTTAAAAAGGGAAGGAGTAAAAGGAGGAGCTGTGTTGAAGGAAGATGGATGGGCTACGGATGTGACAGCTGAAAGAGGGGGAGAGGAGACTGAGCGCACTAAGGATGGCAATTTCCCAGGTCCTGGAGCAAGAGTTTCGAATTCTGCAGGGCCAAAGGTTTCCAAGTTCGCGGGAGGGAAAGGTTTCAACTTCGCGGGGCGGAAAGTTCCCAAAAAGTTTTCAAACGTGCGTGCACTAAGGAGGGCGTTGAAGAAACGGGAGCCAACGAAAACGCCGAGAAGTCCAGCCAAGAGCAAAAGGAGTTTTCGAACGGAGGGAGCTGGATCTGGACAGGGTGGAAATCAGGGCGCAGAAAGTTTGGCAGGTGAACAGCAACAGCTCCAAACTCGAAGTCGACATGAAGATCGGAATCAAGATCCCAATTGGGCACAAGAACTGAAGTGGGGAGATGAGGTGTTGTGGAAAGCTGGTGTTCAACTGCAGAAGGATGAATGGGTACCTGAAGACAATCGGGTTAATGAAATGAGGTGGGGAGAGGAGCTAGAGTGGAAAGAGAAGGATGGCTGGCATCGTGAAATTCGACAATGGACTTGGGAAATTGAAAAACCAAATGAAAGCCCGCACAAGCTAGAAAAGGGGGGGGGGGTGCATGTGCAGGAATTGACCTCGGAAGGCAACATGGGACAGGTGGACATGGGGAACTCAGAGTCAGGAGTACAAGAAGGTGCAGCAGACGGAAAGAAAGCAGCAGCAAATGGAGAGCCACATGCAAGAAGTGTGAGTGTGAGGAGAACATTCATGAGGAAGCAGTACAGGATCAGGGGTAGTACCGGGCACAGGGTGTTAATGCTGCGCTCTGTTTATGCACAACCCCTCGTACCACCACCTTACCGAACCGACCACCGAACACAGTACTTGATCAAACGACCACTTCTTCACCCAAAGAAAAATGGTGTCGAACATGATGTGATGGTTGGCTTAAAGACAGCACAACATATGGGATGGGGCCGATTTCCGTCAATGCTTTCAAAGAAGTGGAGGCGAAATGATAAGGGGAAGAAAAGACTGGGGAAGTCTACACGAGTTCAGACGCTGAACATAGAGGACGAAGAGGGCACCTCATCATCTCCCCGAAGAAACAGCAATGGAGAAGTGGAAACCAGGGATGTTGAGATCATACACATTGACAGCCAGGTCAATTCCACAGGGATGGGGCAACCAAGTTCTCATTCCGATGCCGGCTCCTATTCCAATGCCAATGCCAACGTTTCAGAGATTGGTGAAGGAAACTCAAGCTCAGCAGGACGCGTAGAAGATGGAGGATCAGAACCACAGTCAGATTCAGAAGCACAAGAAAAAGTCCAGCGTTCTGCTAGTGCTGATGCTGGCGCTGCTGGTGTTAGCGCAACTCGAAGCGCCAACGGAGCGGTACCAGCACAGATACCCAACGGCATTGACGGAGCTACTACGGACAATAGCAACGGACATTTGTATGTTGCCTACAAACAATATGTCAATGATGCACCAAGGACGGTCAGTGACTCTCCCTTCTTTTCTTAGTGCACATTTACAGACATTAACGACCAACTAGCATTCCTTCCCTGTGCGAGCTATCGCCCGCACAGACACGTGTAAAACTTGGTGTGGTTCGCATAGGAAGGAGTCTATTATTGATTGCATGGATAAACAATTGAATGAAAGAGAGTTAAGTCAACTTTCCTTTTTTCCTTTGTTTATCAAAACATGTCCTCGTGGACCTCACTCCATGTCCCTTTTGGGGAGCATCAGTCCGGTTCCTATCCCATCACCAAGTCAGAATTGTACTATAGTACAAAATACACAACCCCTTGATGGTTCTCGGCATTACATCCTGTGTACCCTTGACAGCATCCACTACTTACAAAGGATTGACTGCCAGTCAAGCCCATAAATTGGATCCAAACCCCTCCCCTTATCAAGGCTAACCCCTTTAAGAAACACACTTGCCAGTACTTGATGTGACCTTTGTGGAAGTTTGTGCTGATTTCCACGCCTGCTGAACTTGAAACCGGAAGGGCAAGTCCTTATCGTTGCTCCTTTGTAGAGATTTGGGAAACCTTTCCCTTTTCTCTCCACACTCTTGCTCTGTCCGTTGTCATTTTGTGTTCTTCCTGCGTTTTTCTCGTTCCCGCCCTAGGCTGAACCAATACTGATGTCTGGTAGTTCAGGTCTACTTGTTGCGAATTCACTCTCACCTTCAGCTGTTCTAGATTTTTCTTTCAGTAGCTTGAAAAGTTGAAAACTAATGCCTTGCGCCTTCTGACTGCTATTTTGCCACATGTGCGACTTCAAATGCTTTTAGTATTTCTCCTGCTTTTTCCGGGCCTTTGTCCATCTTCTGCCTGACTTTTCCCCCTGCTAGCCTCCATTTGCTGCTGAAGTTAACTGTCATATCTGTTGCAAATACCAACAGCTGTACTGTTTTGGGCCTTGGGCTGAATTCTGGATGCTTGAGGTGTTGGCTTCGCAAAGAATGGTTAAGTCATCTGCAAACAGAGTTTCTGCTGCAAATTCCAACAAGTGTACTGTTTGGGCTAAAGTCTGGGTGCTTGAGGTGTTGGCTTTGCAAAGAATGGTCAAGTCATCTGCAAACAGAGAGGTGATGGGTTTCGGATGGATGGGGGGTTCTGGAACTTCTAGTTCTTTCGACATCCGGGTTGGCTCTGATCATTGGCCCTACAATCACAAACAAAAGTGGTGCTATTGGTTGCCCAGCCTAACTGACCTTCAAGGGGAAAAGGGATGGCAATGTGACCTTTGAGCACCATATTTGTAGTGGCTGTTCTACGGAGGATGCTGACCCAGTTTCTGAAGGAAGGCCCGGAATTCATTTTATATAGAGAATTCCTTAAAATCCGAATCAACATGGTTGTAAGCCTTTTCAAAATCAATAAAGAGGACAACTGCATCAGTCCTCCTTTGTCTGGCATATATAATCGTTTCATTTACCAGTTTTATGCTATCTTGAATATTCCACTGGGGCATGAACTCCGACTGGACGGGATGAATGAGCAACAAGTCACCGACAACATATGTGGAAGAAGCCTGTTTGTCAAGGCCTTGGCCACCATTCTATACAGAAGTGGCAGCATGGTGATAGGGAGAGAGAGACAGGTTTCTTCCACATGCATCAAGGCCTTTGCTGTCAATTTGAAAACTGCTGACACTTTTTTTTGTTTTGTTTAACAAAGATGATCCATTTCACTACAAGCTTGACAATTGAGGCCGAGGACCTCACAACTCAAACCGGAGTTATCCTGGCAGCATTAGCCAGTTTCCCTTACAATGGGACCTATTCCACCTGTTCCCTAGGGTTTAAAACCTGGTGCTTTAAAGCACAGTCTGCTGAACTATCCCCTACCTTCCCTTCTTACTTTATCCCTACTCTCTATCTCCACGCCCCCTGTCCTATCCTACCATTATTCCTGTTTTTGCACCCATTTTGACCCTTCTTACCTTCTTCCTTCCGAGTTCAGTAGTCCTCCTACACTCCTAAACACTATCTTAACCTGCTTCTACTGTTTAGAATTCTACCCCTCATACCTCCTTTCTCCTCCTTTTAGAGTAACGCCCGCATTGGCTCCAAAGTGCTCTCTTCTTACCTAATCTTATTGTTGGTTCTGGATAGAGCATTGAAAGACCAACCCATGTCCTTCCGCTGTCGCTACTTTTCCTTTCACGAGTACGGTTTCCTGGAACTGGAAGGAGTTGTGCTTGCTTACGGATCCGGTGCCATTGCGCTCTGATGTCCATCTCCAGGAGGTTGTTGAAGGTTTCTTGTGCCTCTCTTCTGTGCGTTGATCCCCTTGCTATCGTCCGCTGAGACTGGACCTTAACAACATCACTCCTTTCCCCCCCGTAAAGGAAATGTCTGCTATTTGTCACCAGAACTTGGCCTCCGCCCAGATGACGGCGGCCCGCGGACAGTTTAGCAAACAGTGGGCCATTGTCTCTGCTGGTCCCTCAGCACACTGAACGCAAAGCTGATCAGATGGGTCCCTGTGGTGCTGGCTGCGGTGCTCATACTGCCAAGCATTCACTGGCAGGGCAACATGGAAGATCAGCCATTGCATGAGTGGGAAACGACAAAAGGAGAGACAGGGCAATGAGGGGCGACGGTGAGATTACATAGCAAGGACAATAGGGAGTAGCTAATCGTAACTTGATGAGTGCTTCAGTAGTAGAGAACAATGAATACAAGTTTGAGGTAACTCGAAATAAAAACAGATATCCAAATCCAACCTGAGCATAGCAGGGTGACGAGCGACAATATCGAAAGAAGGCAACAGGGCGAAAGCAGCAGCGGATTGTGCAAGCAGGGAGAGCATCATGTCAGAGACCTAAACAATGGTGGCCCGAAAGGGCATTGTTGAGGAAGATAAGCAGGCCTATGTGCAGGACAGCGCTAGCGGCTCACAGCAAGAGGCAACACAGCCCCGTCCCACAAAAGAAAAGCATACTCAAGGGAGCGGGCTTAGGAAAGCTCTAAGGACCAAGGGAGCAAGAAAGTCCAATTGGTGGAATTTAGCAGTCAGCAGTATGGAGCAGAGCGACCAGAAGGACCAATCCCAGCGATTGGACACAGAGCAGGTAGTCTCAGAGACATCCAAACAATCAGGGCAGGCGATGGAGATAACTCGGCAGCCCCTGACGGAGCACACCACACCGCAAACGAGGGAAAAGAGACTGAAGGGGAAGGAATGGCAGGAGAGAGCATAGGGAATGAGAAGCAGGCATCAGACCGGCCCAAAGAGGAAGGGAAAGAGGAGGAAGAGGAGGAAGAGTGGGATGCAGAGGACAGCGAGGAGGAGGAAGAAAGAGAGCCAGACACACTAGAGAAGTGGGTTTTGGTGCGTCCACGACCTGGAATGGGTAAGGCACGTAGAGTGCGAAATCTGCATGGCACACCACAAACACCTACGCAATTTAAAACAAACGACGGCAGCTGTGGAAGACATACCGTCAACAAATCGCTTTGAAACCTGAAGAAAGAACAGGAAATCAATGAGTTCTATGCAACACAACATGGCTGCGCAGCTGCAGAACGACAACGTGCTCGTCCAGAATGAAGGTTACACCAAGCAGTTTAAATGGCCCAAGACCTACCAATTTCAGGGCATGAAACGCTCGGACCTGAAGCACAACGCACAACAGGAAGCAGCTCAAGCAAGCAGCGAAGGACAAAGTGGAGTGTCTACCACAGGGGATGAAGGGGAGGAGGAGCAGATGGATGATGCCTGGAGGCAAGCAGCGATCCTGGAAGCAAAGATTTCTCAAGGAACAGAATGGAGACCTGGCAGATGGAACAAACGATGGTATGCTCCTCACAGGGAGATTGAAGCAGCGGCTACACTACACGCAAGGGGCAGCCCCAATCGCAGAGTCATCCTCCCATATCGCTGGAATGAGGACAACGCAGACTGGGAAGTAGCAATCTACCGATGTTGCAGACGCTAGCTTGTGCACAGGCGAGGCCGTGCAGTCATTGATTGCAGAAGAATTACCCACTCGGGCCTACGTGGTTGGAGACATGAAGAAAGAAAAGGAGTGGCAAAGTTAGCCAAGGAACTCGTTTGGATGCCCTGGCAGGTATTGGAAACAATTCCATATGGCCTGCTAGGGGGAGTGGAAGCAGCGGAATGGGTGGCAAGGTGTGCGGCCATAGTAGTGAGAATCCATGCATTCAGCGGGAAGCGATTACATCGAGACAAATCTGGCACTGGGTGAGATTACATCGAGACAAATCTGGCACTGGATGCAACAAGAATCGACCTGGCTCTGGCGGTATCCTGAATCTCCTTACCCAGCAAGGATAGGGGATAACATGTTAACCCACGCTAATGGAGGACACAGCAGAGGGGAGACCAGGGAAGCGGCCAAGATTAAAGTGGACACCATTTAGGAGACTTCCAGAGCTCAAAATAGCATCGTGGGACATCAGCGGATTGGCGCAGATACTGGACAATTCAGACAAATGGAATATACCGTCTCCGAATGGTTCGAAGTGGATCCTCTGGACTTCTTGTGCCTGCAGGAGACCCATCTCACAGATTCGGATGAGCATCAGCGAATTAAAAAGACGATGGTGGAATGCATGAGATGGGTAAAAGCTGACTTTTGGGCACCCTCTACTCGCTCACACCCGGCGGGAGTAGTCATCCTCTAGAACAAGAGGTCGGCAGCAGCACAAAGGATAGCGGTAGAGGGGGTTCAGAGTCTTCAGACAGATTTAGTTGGGGGACTGGGAGAGAGGAGAGTTCGAGGGCTGCAGATGAGGTCACGAGTTAAGGATTGCGAAGAGGGGGAAAGGATGTCAAAGTACTTCTTCTAAAACATCAAGACAAGAGGCAGGAGTGCAGCAATAGAACAGCTTCAAGGACCGGAAGCACCAGCCGTAACAGCGGAAAACATGGTAGCAGTGGCCCACAATTTCTACAGCAACTTGTATAAATCGCGAGAGTCAGACCACCCAGGCCATACGGTGCTAGATGCTAGATCCAAGTTTCTGGCCTACCTGGAGCTGACAGTCACTAGCACTGAGGCAGCAATCCTTGATGCTCCCCTCTCTCAGGAAGAACTCCATGACGCACTAAAATCAATGGCCCCAAACAAGACACAGGGGAAGGATGGTTTAACAAGAGAATTTTGGCTGGAATACTGGCCAATCCTGGGCAGCGAGAACGAAGCATTCCTCGGCAGGGCGTGGCAAGCAGAGGGGTCGTGATGCTGCTCTACAAAAAGGGGGACCCAAAGGACATCAGAAACTACAGGCCGATTATGCTGTTGTCACTTACCCACAAGATAGTAGCTAAAGCACTGGCCAACAGACTCATGAGGATCACACACGGATGCTTCCACTTGGATCAGACGGTGTTCATTCTAGGATGCTTCATACTGGACAATGTGGTGACATTGTCGGAATCGGTACGCCGCAAGGACAAGAAGATCAAAGCGGCCATATTATTCTTTGATATTGAGAAAGCATATGATCAAGTCAATTGGAATTTCCTCCAGAAATGTATGGAGGAAATGGGGGTAGGACAAAGTGCCTGGTAGGACATCTATACCTCCTTGTTCGGGAGGGCGCTAATCCTGAATGCGTCCATATTCTCCATGCTTTGGTACGCAGGTTCAGTATGGAGCCCCCCCTCACAGACTGTCAAGGTACTCAAGTGCGAGGCAGCAGCCTTCCTATGGACAGCTAATCCAAGGAAGCCTCACTTCATCTCCAAAGTAGCATGGAGATTCATTAGAAGCAAAGACAGTGGGGGACTGGGCGTACTGGATCCAGTGCAGCAGCTGAAGGCGCTACAATCCAAGTGGGTAGTCAAGCTAATCACACATACACAGCTACCTTGGTTGCAACTGGCAACAGAGCACATTCGCCAATTGGCGAGATACGAGACAACCCCCCACCATGTCAGGAATGTTCTGGGTGATGAGCAAGAGCTGGGCGAAGAGAGGAAGGAGCAGGGAGGAACGACCAGCAGAGGACAGCGAGGGCAGAGGGACCTCATACTGGGCCCAACTGCTTAAGCTGTGGGGGGAAGTCTTCCCTGCCAGAGTACGAGAACCTAGAACCAGGGAAGGGGGGCTCGGCCAACCATTATTCTGCAATCCCTGGATCAAGGCAAACCTCACACCCTTAAAGCAGCAAACTCCAAATGGGGGGCGTGGGTCAAACACGGCATATGGAAGATTAAGCACCTTTGGTCGGAGGAAAAGAAACAATGGAGGTCAGCGACAGACCTTCGGGCGGAGATGAAAGGAAGTCACCGGCTCCTGGGAAAATCTTAATGCAGAAGCAGACTCCAAATGGGGGACGTGGGTCGAACACGGCATATGGCAGATTAAGCACCTGTGGTCGGAGGAAAAGAAAAAATGGTCAGCGAGAGACCTTCGGGCGGAGATGAAAGGAAGTCACCGGCTCCTGGAAAATCTTAATGACATGCTCATCTCCATTCCAGGGGAGTGGAAGAGACTACTGGAGCAGGGATCTCAGTGGAAAGGGGGCGAATGGACCTCATGGCAGCATGAAGGCACACGCGCAGAGGCCTTCCAAGTGGGGGTTCTGACAGGACCAGGTGAAGAGTAGCTCAGCCCAGACATGTACATGATAGAAACACCTCTAACACTTTTTTAGAGTGCTGTTTCTCTGAATTTTTTCTTTTTCCCCGCTAACCATACAATACCAAATTCTTTCAAGTTTGGATTAGGAGGTGGGAAGGTTAGGTTAGCGGATATGATGACAGTACTGTCGAAGGGAAAAAAAGAAAGAAAAAGAAAAGAAAAAAAAACTTGAAAAAGAAAGAGAAAAATAGAGGTGGGACACTGGGAAGGTTAGTCCAGAGGAGGAGTTGGGAAAGTACGGGAAGGGAGAGGAAAACAATGAACTGAATGAAACAATTGAGGACCAAAGATCTCCTCCGTTCGTCCAGACCATGCATAGTTCTCTACTAGCTGGATCTTTCTTCTCTCCTTGCATGTAGTATTGACTGGGAGGGTGGCAATAGGCTATAAGCCATTGGAGGCGCCTGATTGTGATAGGTCCTATCGTTTGTAGTTTTTGCAAGGGATCGTCTGTATTGGGCTGTGGTCTTTCCCTAAATCCCTTGTCCATTTTCTTTGGATGTCGGCATTGGGTCTTTCGTTCGTAAGAACATTTGTACCCCAGTTTGAGTGAGTAAATCGGATAAGTGGGTCGATATCCTCTTCTGTGTTTGGCTGATAGCCAAATCTAATTTGCAGGACAAATTCCAGGTCTTCAATGGTGCTGGTTGTATGGAAGATTCTTTGTGGTGTGGCTCCCCAAACTCTTACTTTTCAAATAAGTAGGTCTCTACCGTTTTTTTCATACAGGTCTTTGTTTATCTTTGGAGTATTGTCTTTGATCGTATGCCAGAGGAAAGGTCGTGAAAGTTGTTGTATAGCCAGAATCTGGTAGCTTGTGATGAAAGTCGAGCTCTTTGGAGAAAGGACTCCTGGATGAGCACACCCCACTCCCCATTTTTACACGTGAATCCAGTGATGGTAGGGCTTGTGACCAAGCCGTGCTGATTGCTTCATCGAAAACTTTTTTTTGTTTGTTTCTGTTTTTTTTTTTTTTTTTTTTTTTTTTTTTTTTTTTTTTTTTTTTTTGACTGGCAAGGATTGGAGTTGGTGAGCTTAAAGAAGCTGGAGTCCTACCTTTTTTATTTTCCTTTTTTTTTTCAGGCCTAATTAGTGGATCACAGCTAATTGTGATCTCTACTGGTTTGTGGTCTAGACCCGAGAACGGGGCTAGAGGTAAGATGTCTGCCCCCTTGGCTATACTGAACAGCGGATCAGACCCTAGGAAATAGTCAATCGTAGGGAAAGCTGTATGGTTGGAATGGGTTTGCTTGACTGGGGCGAAGGCCCTTTTGCACAGATGGAGCTTTTGGAAGGGGTCTGATAGGTTGTGGTCAAGAACGAGTCTTTGAACTTGAAGTGCTTCTCAAAGCGGGGGGGTCTGGCGGAGTTTGAGATCCGGTCATTTTCTTGTGACCCATTCCTTTGAACTGGTGAACTAGCTCCAGGCTTCTTCCACGTATGTCGCCGCTCATTCATCCTGGCCAGTCGAGGCTCATACCCCAGCAGAAATCCAAGACAACATTTTACTGGTAAATGAAACGATTAAATGCGCCAGACAAAGGAAGATAGAGGCAATTGTCCTCTTTATTGATTTTGAAAAGGCTCGTAACCATGCTGATCAGGATTTTATGGAGTTCTCTGTATGAAATGAATTTTGGGCCTTCCTTAAGAAACTGGATCAGCATCCTTCCTTCACAGAACAACCACTACAAAGGTGATGCTGAATGGTCACATTGCCGCACCTTTTCCTCTTCAAAGGT